TACCTCTCCTCCTGCAAATGGCCCAGCTGGATGAGGCAGGACTGGAATGCAGAAACAGTAGCAGCAGTGGCGGGGCAGAAGCCTTCCCCCGCCACCGCTGCCTTTCTTTCCTTTTTCCGCCCAGCAAGTATTGGAGAGATCAAACATCCCTACTATTAATGAATAATCAGGATTCCAAGATAAAATGTTTGACTAAAGTTACCCTGATTTGGTCAGAATATGTAGTGTAAGTAATCCTTGATTAACAGTAACTATTCAAAGCTACAACAGTGCTGAATGAGAGGGACTTATGATGGATCCTCATAATTGAGAGGCACTTGGCAATCTGCTTGCAAATATGAGATCACAGCGTCCTGCAGTCATGTGATTGTCATTTATGACCGTCACTGCTGACTTCCAACAAGCAAAGTCAATGGAAAGCCAGCAAGAGGCCACAAATGGCCATCATCACTATGCACCTAACACAAACTGGGACTGTCAGAACTGCTCTTATAAGTCAGTATAGCCGTGGGACCATGTCCTTATGACTGCATCCCTAGTGATGGGATTCCCTTTTTCAATTTTTATTGGTAAGTGAAGTAAGAACCAATAATTTATACTTGGTGTGTGCTATCTAATGATACTCTATTATTTTGAAGTCTCTCCAAGCACAAATAAATACATACATGTATGTTATGAGGGGTTTGTTCTGTGTCTTCAGAATTGGAGGTAGAATGTTTTGAATGCCTCTGAGAACTAGTTTAGACAACATTTCTACACATTTAATTGACAACTATGGAAAACAGGATTCTGGACTGAATAAGCTTTTGGTCTGATTCAGCAAATCATTTCAGGATTCCTTCAAAATATCTGAATATAAGTATAAAATATTTAGGTCTCAGCCACACAAAATTCACAAGGGCAGACACATATTTGCAGTGAAGGAAATTCCTTACTTATTCCTGGTTATTGTGAATAACATTATTGCTGCCATTATTCTAGCTAAGCCTGAATTAAGAGGCTATACATACATTTCTTGCTGTCCTTGTCTCCAAATTTGAAATGCTGCTATGCTGCCAAATATGAGTTCTTGATAGCTTAATAAGTACTTGAAGAAAATGAAAACTGATACTAGTGAATACTGTGCTGCCAGTATTCTTAGTATGCTCTTAGTAAACTGTGTGTTGTGCTCTTAGTAAATTTAAGAGCAGGATCTCTTTTAAATATATATTTAATTTTTTTAGTAAACTCTTTGTCCCAAATCCCAGACAGGAAAAAAATTACTTAAAAAAACACTGCTTACAGACTCTCTTCTATGTACCCGGGTGTGAACAGTGTGTTGCTGTCCAGTCCAATCTTTTTCACTCACAGCTCATTCATCTTCACTTTCTCTGTCTTTTCAATCCATAGCCTTTATTATTTCTTTTCTCTCCCAAATCCTTTAGCATTTGTATTTTCCTTCCTGTTCATCTCCATCTTCCCCACTTCTGTTTGTTTGTCCTCTTACTTATCTTTCTGCATTTCTTTTTAGTCCAAAGCCGCATTATTTTTTCTCTATACATGAACTGTTTTTCATTCTCAACCTTTCTCATTCTCTCCCCTCTACCAGCCTATTTTTCCCTTAACTGTTTAAGGTAGGATCAGTAGGGACAACCAAAATCAGAAGTAGAGATTGCTGCTCACCATGTCTCCCTGAATTCTCACATCCTGGAAAGCTTTAGTTTGACAAGATTCTTTCCATTAGTGTAAACAAAAAAAAAGGAATAGACTCGATTAGATGTTTTCTTTGAGTTAGAGCCTACACGAATGAAGGCAAATATATGTGTCCCAGGATAATGTTACAATCGGGGTTGGTCACAGAATCAAAAGTTTAGTCTTTTGATCTTTTGGACTCATGCTGGAAGCCATTCTCAGGAAACCTCTCTCTCACCAGAATGTGTGTTTTGGGCTATTCTAGGCATAGTATTTATACGGTGTCTTGTTGAATGTGGTTTTTTAATTGTTGCTGGGATGTTAATGGCTGGCCAATAAGTTGTTAGCTATTGTTTCTTTGTGCTACCAAGTCCTTGGCTCCTGAGTACTTGATAAGCTGGTGGTAATCAGCATGCAACTGGACATTGTACACTGCCCAAAGTGAGCTATCAGACGAGGAGATCCAAGTTCACTGGTAACCTCACATTGCAATGAACAAGGACATACATTCAATTTCAAACTACTAAGATTGTTGGATAAGCAGGTACAAAAATAGCCAGAGAAATAATTGAAAAATAGCCAGAGAAATAATTGAAGCCTGGGAAATGGGCCTCTTGTCAGTTACCACTAGCCTATCACATACTCAGGAGTAAAGGACTTGGACAAGGAAACAACTGCTAATGACAACAACTGCTGGCCATCAATAGGCACCATGTAAAACTATGCATAGAATAGCCCAAAGTACACATTCTGATGAAACAGAAGTTCTCTGA